TAAAGTTTCAGCCAATCAGATTGCAGCTCACGTACACGCACGTGTATGCATGTGCATGGTGACCATAACTTCTTTTAGAAGTCCATTATGTATATTTATGTTCCAAATCCCATCCTGTTTGGTTGAAAACCAAGGGAGTTATAGCTGTTTAAAGTTTCAGCCAATCAGATTGCAGCTCACGTACACGCACGTGTATGCATGTGCATGGTGACCATACCTTCTTGTAGAAGTCCATTATATATATTTATGTTCCAAATCCCATCCTGTTTGGTTGAAAACCAAGGGAGTTATAGCTATTTAAAGTTTTAGCCAATCAGATTGCAGCGCACGTGCATGCACTTCTTTTAATGATAATTGCTATATATCATGTTGTAGGGTATCCTAATGCATGGCTATGTTCAAAATTTCAAAGGATTTCGTCAGAAAACAAGAAAGATATTGAGACCTTTGTTTCAGCCAATCAGATCAAAGCGCACGTGCATGCGCGTGACATCTTGCTATCTTGACCATGTCATCTTGTCTACGCTACTAATATATCCTTACATTATAAATTTCAAAAGATTTCATCAAAAAATAGAAAAGTTACGGCTATATCCATTATATTGGTCATTTCACGTGTTGCACGCGCGCGCTCTTGCAAGCACGTGCGCGCAAAATGGCATGTTGACAATGTCATCTTATCTACATTTATCATATGTCTATATATTCTAAATATCAAAGCATTACATCCAAAAATGTAAAAGTTACGGCAATTTCAAGTATATTGGTCATTTCACGTGTTGCACGTGCGCGCTCTTGCAAGCACGTGCGCGCAAAATGACCTTCGTTCCGCAAATCTACATAACATGCCTACTTACCCTAAAAAGGTTTCCCCTTAATCGGACGTGTACTTTACAAGATCATTCGCGGACAAAATTTTCCCGAGAAGAAAAATAATAATAATAATAAGAAACAGAGTAAAAACAATATGTTCCCCAACTTCGTTTGGGGAACATAATAATAATAATAAGAAACAGAGTAAAAACAATATGTTCCCAAACTTCGTTTGGGGAACATAATAATAATAATAATAATAATAAGAAACAGAGTAAAAACAATATGTTCCCCAACTTCGTTTGGGGAACATAATAATAAGAAACAGAGTAAAAACAATATGTTCCCCAACTTTGTTTGGGGAACATAATAAGGCTCACCTCAGAGAAGCAGGACCATACCATAAATTCTAAATAAGGATTGGGTTGAAATACCCTCAGTAGTCTGCCATGTGTATCATACAAATCAAATATGTAAATCTTGAGAAGTTTTGAAAACGTCCTTCTACCTGGACTGCCGTGTCCAAACTGAAGCACGGGCTTACCAATATTTTAAAGGTCCAGTGATTTGAGGTATAAAACGGGGTTAAATGAACCCAGTGAAAAATGGAGGCTCCCCACAGGTGAATACAAATTACTTGCGTGTTCGATTAGGAGATTTTAATGTGACATGTTTTTTTCATAAACTTCAAATAAACTCTGGTATAACTTGCAGAAGTATTAAAAAATAATGTCAAGCGAGGAGACTTTGAAAGAAGTTCGTAATGTACATGTATTGTTTTTTTTAAATGAGTTTAAGCGAAAACCGTCACGTTTCCAGTCAATGACAAAGACAAATATTAAGTGAAGTCATGGTATTAAGAAAAGTAGATTTACTTACCGTTTTATCCAACTTGCATGTGTTATCCAGTGCTATATATAACATGACATGCAAACATGGTGAATGGCCAAAAGCGGATAAAAGAAATTTCTATAACCAAATTCACACTTCGTATAAAACCTGCACGTTTTCCATACAAACAGCTGATAATCAATGTTGATAAAACGTTTGGGTCATGCAAAATTCCACTTACTGTTCAAGCGTTTTGGTGATTTCAATAACAGTTTAAATTTCACCGGGTATGACCATTCATTTGGGTGTATACAAATCATGAACAGAGTATCCTTTATTCGATTGGAAGATGATACATATGTCTTATCAACTTTGCATTTTGGGGGGGATATATTTTGCTGGAAAGCATATATGTTTATTGAAGAAAAAATAAATTTCTGAGTGTATGGCGTATTGTAATGATGAATTAGCATATGGACAAGCTATGTTTTTATATCATTTTGTCTCACCTAAAAATCTTATTCTAATACGTTTGTAAGTATATTATTTAATAATTAAATAATTAGAAATTGAATAAATTGACAAACAATTCATTTTCAAAGAAAGAATACGTATTGGGTAATACACTGTATTAATTGATGTGATACAATGTACATTCCATTCCATCCACAATATCTCATGTTGTGTTGTATTCAGTGATTTATCGGTGTTAAATGAATTTGAATCAGATCATTTGGGACCAAAATGGCGTTTCAACGGAAGTACGTCATATTGTGAAGTTGTAGAGAGCTCCCTTGAACAACAACACTATAATATAAAATTAGCAATCTGGCGACACCCAGGATTTATTGTTTATATTCTTTTTCGAAAATTATTCATTTGTGTGGAGACACCACCACTTGCCGGTGAAGGGCTGTAAAACTGTCCTTTACTCGGCACTCAGGGCCATTTAGCAGGCAGGTAGGGATCTTTTTCGTGTCAGCATCTACTGCGAAACTTGACCTATGTCTGTACGTTCTCATCCGAATGACCGGTCTCTACGTCCCATAGTGGAATTCGAACCCACGACGTAATGATAAACTTCGCAACTATAGACACGACCTTGTTTGTTTAAAGAACAAAACGGAATTAATGATTCGAAAAAGTAGCATTTCGATGCAAATGAGGCAAGAATCTGCGATACGTTTCTTTCACTATCAGAAGGCTTCCGAGAACTGAGCTGATTTGAAGTAATTCTTTCGTTTTTATACCATGCCCCTGCTCCGAAGGAGAACAGTATCCAGTTTTATCTGTGTGTTTCTTTCTGTCTGTCCGTATGTTTCCGTCTCAAATGTTTGATCGCTTTTCCCAAGTAACAACTTATTACAGATACTTGAAATTTTCGCACATTTTTACCCTAGGCAATGTTATGTTTGGGTTCATTTTTTCTTAAAATCCAATGTCAATTTCTGGTGAATCTGTGAGTCAGCTGTATGAATCTGAATTATACCAAGCTTGTACTTTACAAAAAAGTTTTGAACGTGACAGAGAAAATCTCTTATATTTATTTTAAATAACTAAACAGTTAAGGGATGCATTTCTTTTTATTATTTGTACATTGAAATTAAAAGATCAGACTCGACCGCCGCAAACAAATCAATCGGTAATTTCAAAGCAATTCATTCCTACTTAGGATGCCATTTAAATGCAGATAGTATTCAATGTAGAAGATTTTATTTTAAAAGTCGTTTGTTTACAGAGAAATACTTCAAATAGAAAGAGTCGACGTTTCATGAAATATTTATTTTATATGATAAAAGGTTTAATGTGTGCTCACCGGGTTCATAGAAATAAATTTTATTAGGTAGACTTTGTTTGTTATTTCTTTTTGTTTACAGGAATGATAATTATTTTAAATTTACGTTATAGAAGATTATGCAAACAATGTCAGCTATGTACAGGTATAAAAAGAGCCTCAGGGTGTTCATAAACATATTGCCGGATATGCACTGATAAAGTAAGCATGTAATTACTCCATGTTTTTTTTTGTGGGGAGGGGGGGGAGGGGGTTAGTTGGTTATTGTGCTCTCTGCTCACAATGCCTTAATTTATAAAATTCGTGTTTATAATTAAAATTCAATCAGCATTTTAAAAAAGAAAACCCTGATCAACACTGCTGTGACAGGTGAATTTATTTCATAAATATAAAGAATCTAAAAAATTATTGAATGTTTTTCACGGATTTTCCCTAATATTTCTCAATTTTCAGCAGGAAGACGAAGATGCAGATGTTTTCAACCTTTAAATCTATGACATCTTTGATTTTAATCAGTTACCTTACTGGTAAGAAAGAGAATGAAATTATGAAGGATCCTTTTTTGTTGGGAAAAAAAGAACAATGTTTACAAATGTACAATATCGTGCAATCCACCAAAATCTCTTGTAATTATTCAGGATGTGATGCAAATTGTTGTTCGCTTTCTGAAAAACAAAAATGCGACGATGGGTTAGCACACAAAGGAATAGAAACATGCAGGTAAGTATTATCTCTTACATATGTATATTGGTTAACGTTTCTCTCCAAAATATTTCACTCAAATGTAAGCGCTGAAACTTGCCGATGTAGTGCTGCATTTAGAACCATTGGACAGTGAGGGATGCATTTCGTTCCAGCACCTAAATAGAGGCTAATGGGCCACATCGCTCACCGGAAAAAAATTTACTATGCTGTTCTTAACCAGATTCTTTGTAATACCTATTGTGACCCAATCCTACCTTACGGGTCATAATGAACATAATTTATTTAAAGTAGGTCTATACTTGCACTACGTCATTTACGAATAGTAAAACCGGAACCGCGCTTCCTTTTTCCGAGATGAGATTTTTTAACTACTATAGTATATGGGTTTGACTTTTACTTAGCGTGTTAAATATCCGGTAACGATTTTGCTCGAAGTCGGTCGCGTCAACAAACACATATTCTACAGTTTAATGATAAATTAATTAAAAAGAGAAGGCTGGGAACAACTTTCGGTTGACAGAAATAATTAGGTAATAAAACGATATTTCTGTGAATGATGTATGTTTTATATGCCGCGCCGAAAACACGGACCATGGACATGCTACACCAGAACATGTATCTAACTATCGAGGAGACTATTGTCGGCGGCCAAGTTGAAGCTAATAGTGATAATTCGGAAGAAAAGTAATGACTACGATTTGACTTAGACAATTTATGGATTTTACTAATCAAACATTACAAAATTTTACTTTGAATAATAATTATTGCATAAAACGCATACCCCCTCCCCCAACCTGCTTACCCACGAATCCCAATGCAAAATTATCTTTTGAATAAGTATTTGACAAAAGTTGATTCACTTGCAGCACACTTCGTTACTTTCTGTAGCAAAATCATCCAGTTTCTGAGAATCAATGAATTACTTTCATTTTCATCGTCTCCAATTTAAGGACAAGTGTGTTTAATTTATATATTTTATTTATTTTTATTTTTAGTAAAATAAGATAAATTTTAGGAACATTTGGTTTTGGGTGTGAATAATTATTGTTTTAAATTATGTACAACCTTGTTAATACAAGTATACACTCAGACATAAACAGTATTACAGAAATATGTGGCAATATATTACTTCTGGAAGAAAGAAAATAGGGGGTACCTTATGTGTAGAGCTCATACCACGAAAAGTAATGCGTCAACATATAATTTTTTAAGCTTATTATTTTTCTTAAATATAATTTAGTAACAATAATGCAAATTTACGAAGTTTGAGTCCATATTTTTTTTTTAATTGACCGAGATTGTTCTGGGAAGCATATTTTCTCACATTAAATTTTGATACAATAGCCTAACAAAGTGCATCTATTTATAATAATTCATGCAAAACAATATTATATCTGTTTACTAACAAGTTTCTACTCTATTTTGGGTATTAAAGTTGAATATTTAGACTTAAATTAATTTATATACAACAAAATCTAGGATAGGTAAAATTTCAGTATTTTACATTTCGGGGTATATACTCCGATAGGCTATAGCGGAAAAGTGAACATGTTGACATATAATTTTTCTTGTGTCTATCCATTGCTGGGATGTATGTCTATCTTATAAAAGCAGATTTTTAAAGATTGAGCCCATTTAGTGCCGAGTATAGAACTACCTTAAAATCTACATGATTTGAACAATTCAGAATCTACACTATCCCTGGATGCATCAACATTTCAAGATTCAGCTTTTCTGGCCCAGTGGTTCTTGAGAAGAAGATTTTTTCCTATATATTTCTATGTAAATTTTTAATTCCCTACTGTGAACTCGCCCTACACCTAAGGGCCATAATTCCACCAATTTAAGATCTACATTACCCTCAGGTTTCACAAATCAGAGAGGAAATTTTATAAAGTATAATATATTAAATCAAAAATTGTTCTAAATGGATAAAATAACTAAGTTTTATCTCAATATCAATCTAAAAATTTTGTATGTAAGTACTTGAAGAAAATATACAGGAACAAAACTCAATGTAAGGCTATGCAGAGGAAATTCGGACTAAATTTTTGATTTTTCATTTTTGTAAAAATTTTTATTTCTTGCAATATTATTCACAAAGTAAAGGTTACATGTATTTTAAGGCATCATTTTGCAAATTTTATATGTGTTTTAGCTCAGAAATTATTTCAAATAAATGAATGCTATGAAATAAATTCAAAAACATGTACAAAAACCACTGCGGTCAAGATATCTCAATAATTTGATTATTGACCCCATATAATATTAATACCATGAGAATGAGGGTAACAAAAGTAACCTGAGATTATAAATAATTTAGAGTTCTTGTCAGTCAGATTTTTGCAATATTTGATTAAAGATATGAAAAAAATATAAATATGACAGAGGATATTTGGACTGTAATAATTATCACATATATGGCCCAAACTCTACTCATTTCTTTATATGAAGCAATACTGTTCCATTGCTATAATATTTCATTATTTAAAGAGTTTTGTTGCTTGTAATATTTTGTGAGGGAAAAAAATGGTCATAGTGTGAAAAATTGAGGTATTTCCCGAGAAATACTCAGGGGCCTCTAGCATGAAAACGAAAACATGAAATATTGACCTAGTTATTTGAAATTGAAATTCAACATAAGAATCATAGGTGTACAATAGGTGGTTTTTCGTTCTTATGAGTGGAATTTTTAGTTATCTTAATAACTGCCTTCTCCTTCAAGAAATTTTAATTTTCGACGAGGTTCCTTAATAACAGTCATATTAACTTAATCGGCACTTTTTGTTTACTAATATGAATTTTTATACTAACACAATAGACGTCATTTCGTTTACATAGTTTATGATTATATACGAACTCATTCCTATGTCCTTCTATAGAGAAATAGTTGTACGTCTGGCTAGGGGTTACATCAGACCAAGAGCTTGACAGGATTCGGTCTGGGGAAAACCAGTTTATATTTGTTGTACCCGTCCCATTGAAAACCACCTCAGCCACCGTCGTACCACTTTTGTGCAATTGGACTCGTACCTTTGAAAAAGGATATAGAATTTTAAGTTATGTCTTCTTTTATGATAAATTGATTTCGAAGGAAATATATATATATTATATAATAATGTATAAAAAAACAAAACATTTTTGATATATTTTATACATATTAAATTTCAGCTGTTGTATTGATTTTCAATTGCCATGTCCGTCGTTGAGCCTACGGTAAAATGTCAGTTTAGTGGCAACTACAATAAGCTAGACGTGTTAGTCATGTGGGGAATTTAAGTACTCGTCGAAGGCAGACATGGATTTGAAGAAGCATTCAGTTTGTGACAGTATACGTATTTGTGACCTTGGCCACGCACCATTTCATACATCAAAAATTCAGTAAGAATCATTTTATGTCCTCAAAATCACTACAGGACTTTTTTTGAGTTTCATTGCAAAAACAAAATGATTAAATGGAAATATTTTTGAGCAATATGTTAATTTAAGTCGATGACCTTTGTCTACAGGGCATGCTTACTCCTCCTAGGAATCTGATCCCACAGCTGGAATATCCAGGCCTGAGGGGGCATGTTTTTTATGCTGTTCACATATTTTTATTGCTTGTAGATTTTGTTTTACATCAATCACTGTTATCTTTACATCTTTCATTTAAACTAACATGTAACAGCATCAATAAATACTAGTACACTGTAATATTAATATTCATTTTTCTGTTGATTGGAAATATCCTTTTGAATTCAAATTTCAAATGTTAGCCTAATAACAAAATCTTATAACACAGAGGATGGCTTTAGTTTTTTATAATGAAACATATGGAGATTACGAAAAGTATTCAAGATCATAAGACCATAAAGCAATACAAAAACAGGAGCAGAGAAAACACGGACCTCCAAAACATCAGAGGTGGGATCAGGTGGGATCCTTACTTATACATGTAGTTAATTACTATAGGTCAATTTTACTAACTGGTACTGTTTGCAAGATTATGGGAAAAATTATTTTTACAATTTGAATGGGTTCTATTTAAATTTTAAACCTATATCGGCAGCTGTTACCCATGTTTCTGTTCTAGGTAATTGTCCTTTTCCTCCTCTATCAGTTAGTAAACTTGACCTATAGTAATTTACACGTAAATCTGTAAGAAAACAATTACATGTACCTTTACCCTTTAAAACTGGGGTAATATTAGCTTGCTTCGATTCCGTACATTTGGTAAGCATTTTGATTCAAATGTCTTACTAAAAAGATTTACTTGTGGTTCACAGATGAAGGAGGATACGTTTGACATTAAAGAGTATTGGCAAACAGAAAAATGTGTTAGCTATTAACAAAATAGAAAAATTAGCATAAAGACATTGATTTAATTCTTATTGAATTTTTCGAAATTTCCAAACATTTTTTCTCGAAACTCTTCACTGAGTAAATATTTAAAATACAAATGATGAGATATTACTTTACGTAATGAATAATACCTTTTACGGATATGGTCCAATTCAGGATTGACGGAATCAATAGGCAATCTATTTGTCAATTATAATTAGGCCGACATTAATTGCATTAAACTGAAGTCTCATAAGTCCTGCTTCAATAAAACTCAATATTCTTGTTTTATGACAAGTGCCCATTGTACATGAATATACCGTCTTCAATGATTTCCTTAGGGTTTATATCGAAATACTTAATATCCAATGAACAAACTATTTTGATTTAAAGTTATTACTTTGATGAGAGACATTATACTTAGATGATCCACAATAAAAAAAGGAATCTAGCAGACTTGTTAATGAATAGAATCAAAATATCTCTTGATGTTATTTATCATGTTTATATGATTGCAATCATGAAATTGTATAAAGCTTCAACTTTAAGATATATTTTAGCAATATACTTGAGAAATATTCAGCGAGTCCCATTGGTCAATCAGTGATGTTCTGTAGTCTGAAAAACACAGGGGGGACTTTGCTATTGTGGCACATTGATCGTCGTCAAAATTCTCGTTAGTTTCATCGCCTGTTCCGTTAGAGAGGAACGAAAAATAGTCCGATGTGTTCAATCCAGTCTGACTTCGGTAGACCAGTATCCAGCCCAAGGATTCCTTATCTAGAATACGACAAAATTTTTTTAAAGGAATGATGTTTAGTTATCTTTTGTTCTACAAATCTTTCTCAGATTTCTTATTCTTATACCGGTAAGGGTTCATTAATTATTTTTGATGACGTGAAACGTAAGGAATCTACATTAACTGAACACCTTTTGGAAAATCGCATTTATTCTTTAAGTTTTACTTCTTTGAATTGTTTTTGTTAGTGTCAGTAATCTTCAAACAACTCACAACATTTAAACTCTGCAGTGATATTCTTATCCAATCCCCAGTCTTCACAGAACACCTGATTTAAACCCTTGTATCCAGCTTTACACTCCATCGAGTTCCGGAACAGAAGGATACCACCATTATAAATAGCATTTTTTATTTTGGGCACTTCACAACCTAGAAACAACAAATGTCAAATTACACGACCAACTCTAATATTCAGACAGCTTAGTTTATACATGTAACACTTATGATTTTATTTCATGAAAATCGTACTTCATTAAAAGAACGTTTTATATACATGTACATGTACATTGATATGCTTTTAACATTTCTAGACTTTAGGGATATCTAACACATTAACAATTTACTCTACAATTCTACATCGATTTGCATTAAAAAAAAATCATGCTTAGAGATCAACAATTTACTTTCTTAATGATATCCGTGATTGGAGATAAAAAGTATAAACTTGAGTTGAAATTAAAACTTTAGATTACTTATCAATTATTGATAGTCTACGAACCTTTCATCAATAGGTTACTTATCTATCAGTAATATTCTACGTCCTATGATTAATAAAATACTTACCTATCAGTTATAGCTCAATACCTATCTTTAATAGCTTTACATGTCAGAAGTAGGTTATTTACTGTACAGTAAAAGGCTACGTACCTATCAGTTATAGCTTCTTACCTATCAGTTACATAATACTTACTATCAATAATAGGCTACCAGCCTTACTGTTATAGGTTAAATTTCCAGTCAGTAAAAGGCTACGTACCTATCACTGATAGACTACTTACAGTAGTTACAGAAAGTAATAGTCTATGTATTTATCAGTAATATTGTGCGTACCTATCAGTAAACAACCTATACACCAATCAATAAACGGTTACTTACCTATCAGTAATAAGTTATTTATTATCAGTAATCAGCTACTTATTTATCAATAAAAGGTTAAATACCTATCAGTAATAGCTACTTGCCTATCAGTAAAAGGCTACTTTTCAGCAATGGCCTACTTATCTATCAGTAATAGGCTACATGTACTTGCCTTTCAGTAAAGGTATACATACCTATCCGTAAACACCTTGGTCCGGAGTGTGTGATAACACATCTTTGCAGAGTGGTGCAAGTAAATGTACCACATTTTCCGGAGACCTTCAGAATATTAATAAAAAGTCAATTTGAATGAAAAGTTTTTTCTGTATATGTTTTAAATTGATATACGAGTAAAGTTCTAGAATTCATTTTTCTTAAATAAATATATAGATTGTTATTTCAAAAGAAAAAATTCTAAAACTGTAGTGGATAAAAAGGCTTTGAATATATATATATACGTATCTCGACGGATTAACATTGATTTATATGACGTCAAACATTTGAACCATTCAACCACTTAAACACATAACTTGACATTTTCTCCTAAAATGAATCTTTTATAAGAATAAAAAAAAGTTTCGATTTTCTTCCATCGAGGTCTTGATTTTAATGAAAACTTTATAGAATTACATATAGTACTTGTCATTCTTTACCCAAACCAATAATTAGGATTGCTTACATTTGCAAAAAAAAGAGTTTCATTTATATGCTTTGTTCTTATACGATTACATCAGAAACTCCACATGCATAATTGTTACAAAATAACAGATGTATTTGTTTCATGCATTAAAAATAATTCATCTCATTATCATTGATTAGAATTACAAGGTTTTTAATTATTGACCACCCAATGGCTTATGATTGATGTATAATTAATTCTATGTCAATCTCGTGTCGATACGATATATCCCAGTGAGATTGAAAATAAATGATACCACAGAGTCTAACACATCTGTTTCATATTTGGATATTTTACTTGAAAAAGAAGTAAATGGTAATTTAACAACCAAGCTTTATGATAAACGTGATGACTTTAATTTTTTAATCGTCGATATACCTTTATCACCTCCATGCGGTTTTTATATCTCTCAGTCGGTTCCATACGCAAGAGCATGATCAACGTATGAAAAATTTACGACGGATTTTTCCGTTATTTCACGATCATGACAATGAGCACACGGCGGGTGTGACCGCTAAGCAGGGGATGCTCACTCCTCCATGGCACCCGATCCCACCTCTGATGTTTCGGAGGTCCGTGTTTGCTCTGCTCCTATTTTGTATTGTTTTATGGACTTTGAAATTGAATACTGTTCGTTTTCTCCATATCCTTCTTTTTAGTCAATGGTGACGCAGATTACCTTTGGAATGATACAATAAGATACAACTTTTCAAATAATTTCTGTTTTAATATGCTTTATTAACCTTAGTTTAATGCCAAAAAAATGTTTGGTATTAATAATAAAATATCAAGGCAGACAAGCATGTTGCAGCAATCGCTATGAGACTGGTCTTCTGCCCATCTCCTCCGCTTTTATCTGCAATTAAACATGACATTAAGCATAGTAAGATCATTTTTATCAAGATCAAGGTAGTTATTATTGAAATAGATATCTGTTACAATAATGATCTGGGTGTTAAATAGTATACAGTTGTTGACTGGGATAGAGGGAAAGAATTTGATTTCACTCCTTTACAACAGACCAACTGTTTCCCGAGATACTCCTTTGCCGTGTGAAAGGATACTGTAAACCAACCTTTATTCGCGTGCGAGAAATATTTGTCATCGGGTATATTTCTCGCCGCAAACCGGTCCTTTAAGTCTCAGTGTCTATAAACCACAGATTCAAAAAAGACTTGATCGCGAAAATTAATATTCGCGAATTAGTTATTCCCCTGGTTAATCGCTAAATAAAGTCGTCGCGAAGAAAAGTTGGTTTACAGTGACTTAGATGCACAGATAAACAAGTAAGATGACATCGGATACAAACACATATAAAACCAAACATTCGGCGTTTTAATACAAATAGTTAGCTTTAATTTTCAAGCATCTGCAAGAATTATTTGCTGATAAAATTGTTACAGATAGACACAGAGGCACACACGGGCAAATCAGTAGACACTTCTTACCA